TATCTATCTATCTATCTATCTATCTATCTATCTATCTATCTATCTATCTATCTATCTATCTATCTATCTATCTATCTATCTATCTATCTTATCTATCTATCTTATCTATCTATCTATCTATCTATCATCTACAATTGTCTGTGTGTGCGTGTCTGTCTGTCTATCTATCTATCTATCTATCTATCTATCTATCTATCTATCTATCTATCTATCTATCTATCTATCTATCATCTAATTTAATGTATATAACTGCTTAGAAGTGATTCTGGGCAATTTAGAAACAACCCCATCCAGAAGTTTTAAATGTGCTAATGCAATTGAACCAATTAGTGAACTCAAAAGATGTTTTCATTGAATATCTTGCCATTTTGGCAATTTTAGGCACTCCAGATTTTCCTTGCAGTAATTCAGATGGTTTAAATAACTTGACGTGGCCATATGCAACTTTAAAGAATTAATTCCTCTAATTGCCCTTGACTTTGAAACAAGGCTTGTTTACACAAGCTCTCTATTAGGGGAAACAGTTACTGAATGGAAGTATATTTGCTTAACCAGAATTCATGTAAGTGTCATGTAATCTGGCTGGAGAATTCTGGGAGTTGAAGTCCACAAGTCTTAAAGTTGCCACGTTTGGGGACCCCTGGTTTAACAGAATCTTGCTGATCTGAAAGTACAATACTCCCTCTTTGATTTTACAGCCCAAGAAACTAGGGAGACTCCCTCCTGCGATGTTTGCTACATCCACATTCCCTCTGAGAACTAGGTAGCCTCTTATTTAACAATTCACCCAACTGTAGCTCTTCTCTGTCTTTCAAGGCCACTCCCACATACCATTACAATAGTTCAGAGGTCGGCAACCCGCGGCTCTGGAGCTGCATGTGGCTCTTTTATCCCTCTGCTGCGGCTCCCTGTCGCTCAAAAAATGTGTCAGAACCACCAATGTGCGACATCTGCCAGCATGCAATTTATTGAGCTTTTTGACTCCTGGTAGGTTTTGTGGCTCCCGCTCTTTTCTTTTCTGTGGGAAACGGATCCAAATGGCTCTTTGAGTGTTTAAGGTTGTGTACTACTGTAATAGCTCATCCTCTCATTAATGGCCGTAATGATTGGAAGTTCTAATCCCAGTTAATTGGGTGGCAAACAATTAGATTCTAAAACAAGCTAAACATAATTTCCTCAAGTCCAGCTTGGCTCTTGGTGATTCCATGGATTTTTCCTGGAAAAGTACAGGAGTAGCTCCCCAGTGTCTTCTTTGCAATAAGTATTAGTGTTCCTAGTGGTGTCATTTGTATGCCGGCTGGGGAATTCTGGGAGTTGAAGTTCACACACCTGAAAGTGGCTAAGGTTGAAAAACGCTGTTGTACATGCTGTTCTGGCTACACATTTCTTGTTCTAAAGCGCTTCAGCTAAATTGGGGCTTTTGTGACCACTCTTTCGGCTTACCCGCCATGCAAAAAAAAATATTTCACATTGGTTTTTTCTGCCTTTCTTTTCTCCTTGTAGGAATTTGTCATGATTGTTGTTTTTGGAGTGGAATACATTGTCCGTGTCTGGTCGGCGGGCTGCTGCTGTCGCTATCGAGGATGGCAAGGCCGTTTCCGGTTTGCCCGCAAACCCTTTTGTGTCATCGGTAAGCATCTGATGGGGACAAAGAGGCATGTCAGAAGGATTCTTGATGTGCCCCATCATTATTGGGGGGAAGAGGAGGAATGAGAATGGGAAAAGTCCCATTATTTTATACTCCAGACAGCTGTGCAACTGTCATTTGTAGTTGTTGACTCATATTGGTTACATTCACACAACACATGGAGTTGTCCTATTTTTTGGATGCACTCAACGCATCGAACCACATGTTAATAAACACAACCCCTAAATAAAAACTAGGGGACGCGGTAGCTTAGTAGCTAAGACACTGAGCTTGTTGATCAGAAAGGTCAGCAGTTCGACAGTTCAAATCCCTGGTACCACGTAATGGAGTGAGCTCCCATTACTTGTCCCAGCTTCTGCCAACCTATCAGTTCAAAAGCATGTAAAAATGCAAGTAGAAAAATGGGAAGGCAACAGTGCTCTGTGCACCTTCGGTGTTTAGTCATGCTGGCCATATGACCCTGGCGACGTCTTCGGACTGCGCTGGCTCTTCGGCTTCGAAACAGAGATGAGCACAGCCCCCTAGAGTCAGGAACGACTAGCACATATGTGCAAGGAGAACCTTTACCTTTACCTAAATAAAAACTACAGCTGGATGCTTACTCTAGACACTTAGCATGATGACTTCCAGGTACGTAAGGTGACTTCTAGGCTGATGACTTCAAAGTATGTAACATTTCAACTCCAGTTATTTGCAATTATTTGAAAAAGCTGCTTGTGTTTAAATTCAGCAACACCTGGAAAGTCCATCTTTGCAGAGTTTCTTCTCTGCCCTGAAGATATGTAAGTTATTATCACCTGAATCTGCCTCACTCAAAGTCATCTGAACTATGCAGATCATGGAGTTTGTATAACCTCAAGCAGGCATCTGATCTCTTTTTCCATTTGAGCAGCAGACACATTTGGCCAACTTGGTCTCCATAGGAACTAAATGGGTTTGGATCTATTTGGGACTTGGCTGGGACAGGACCAGGGAACATCAAGGCTGAAGGTTAGACAAAGAAGTTGAGGGAAACAGCAATGGGAAACCACTTCTGTATCGTCTCCAAAACACTAACATAGCTTATCCATGAATCCTCCAGGAAGTGGTGGTTGAAGAAGAATTGATTCCATGTTCTCTTTAAATCAGAGAAAATAGGTGGAATGGACTGGGAGCAGGATATTTTGGGGGCCAGGATGGGAAGACACCTTCTCCCCATTGCTGTGGTCAGTGGTTGGATGTTGCCGGTTTAACAACTGGTTTGGTGAGCGTGTGCTTTGCACGTGCCTAAAGTGCTTGCGCACAGCACTGAAAATGGAGCATTTAGAAGCTCAGCTGCTTATCTTCCAAGCCAGCAACAGTAAGTAGAACAGCAAGAGGGCGGGGGGATCAGATGTGTTGCATGATAGGAATGAACTAGAGAGCAGGAAATAAAGGACAGGATAGGTCGGTGTGGGTGAGTGGGACCAACCGATCATCGGCGCTACTGGTTTGCTCAAACTGGTCTGAACTGGCTGAATACCATCTCTGTCTGTGGTCATCAGAAAAGCTTGGATGCCAGAAACACCTGGTCCCCCAAGATCAAGTAAATTATCTCCTTCTCAAGCCTGGGTTTGTCCTTCTGATAGTTCTGGGCATAATTGTTAAGAAAAGCCTTATTTCTACCCAGCCTTTAACTCCGAAGAGGTTTTAGAAGACTGAATGTTTTTGTTGTGCAAAAACCTTGATGTAATCTCAGATACCTCTACTCTGGATATGGTTATAGAGATGGTGCCTTTCATCTCCCAGCTGCCATTTTCCTTCTGATTAGGCATGGTTCTGTAGATACCCAGACGCTATTTCAGACCACCATTGTTTTTGACTATTGATTTTGAATCCTTGTCTGATACTTAGGTCCACCAAGCTAATCTATATTTTAAGGTTCCCTAGGGATTTCAGAAATACCCAAATGGCACAGAAGAGCAATCTTGTATTGTGGAGAACACCATGTTTTTCATCTGCTTTTATAATTCAGAGGCACCATCTTTATAGAGGACAACTCCCATAGAAGACAAACAAGGGTTTGCTTGATCAAATGGTGACTTTTAGCTTTTGTTTAAAGGTTGGTTTCTTTGCTTTGCACCCAAGGAACTGATGTCTGGGCAATGCACCCATCAAGCTACGGCTTAGCTCACAGATTGTAAGTTGCCCTCTCTTTGCTTTCTCTTCCTGTGCTTCAGATTTCATCGTCTTTATTGCTTCTCTGGCCGTCATTGCAGCTGGCACCCAGGGGAACATCTTTGCTACCTCGGCCCTACGCAGCATGCGCTTCCTGCAGATCTTACGCATGGTGCGCATGGACCGCCGTGGCGGTACTTGGAAGCTTCTTGGCTCAGTGGTCTATGCCCATAGCAAGGTGAGTCCCTGGAGGCCTACCAGCCCAAGCAAGGTATAGGAATCTGCTCTCAGAGATGGAAATAAAGACACTTGCTTCTTATTCTATTTCCATTTTGGGAGAGGGAATGGCAGGGAATTGAAAGGACTGAACACAACGGGATTCTCCCTATATCTGCTTCATCCCAGAAGAAGTTATTGTGTAAAAGCAGAGAAGACTGGAGGATCAATAGCTTTCCAGAGTTTCCAGAGATACTGTTGGCCACACTGGCCAAGGGCTGCTGGGAAATGTAGTTCCACAGAGCTCTGGAGGGCCACCAGTGCAAAGCAGAGGGATTCCCGATGATTCCACATTGAGATCAGGAAGCAGCAAGTTCTACAGCAAAATGTCACAGATTTTCTTTCTTCCAGCAGGAATCTCCATGCTCATATTTAGGCCAACCTATTATGCTCTTTTCCAGAATGCTTTTTTTAAAAAGTGTTATCGCCATCCTCATATGACAGGATACTTCCCATACCACCTTTTTTTTGTTCATTTGACACTCAGTGTTTCCCAGTTAGCAATTACTTCCAGCCCTTATTAGGCTATAAAGAAAGAAACAATGGCTTCATGAGTTGGTTTTAAAAGTTATTGTTGCATGCAACCCATGGATCTCTTGTGCATGGGACTGTCTGTCTTTTGAATGACTGTGTTCCTCTTTGGGCTCCCTTCTCATTGATAATCTCCAGTTAGGTTGGCAGATGATGGTTGGAGCTGGCAAAGCAGAAGATGAGGACTACACAAGAGAACCATTTTGGAAACACAGTTTCCAAACAGTGGCCACCAGTCAGCCAGCAGGAGTAAAATAGAAAAAAAATCCATTATGAAAGATCAGGAGAAAAAAGACTTCAACCTCTGCATGCATATTTATTTATTTTATTTATTCATTTATTTAGTTCGTCAAACATGCACAAGATAGCTAGTATAAATATAAACATGGAAACGAACAAAAGAAATGAATACAAATAAATGGGGACAGTAGGACCGGAACGTTAGGCATGCTGGTGCGCTTATACACTCCCCCTTTAGAGACCTCTTAGGAATGGGGTGAGGTCAACAGTGGACAGTCTTGGGTCAAAATTATGGGAGTTTGAGGATGTAACAAGAGAGTCAGGTACAGCATTCCAGGCAGTGACCACTCTGTTGCTGAAGTTGTATTTTCTGCAATCGAGTTTGGAGCGGTTTACTTTGAGTTTGTATCTATTGTGTGCTCATATATTATTGCAGTTGAAACTGAAGTAGTCATTGATAAGTAGGACATTGTGGTAGATAATTTTGTGTACTACGCTTAGGCCAGACTGTAGGTGGCATAGTTCTAGGTTGACCAAGCCCACAATTTCAAGCCTGGTGGCATAAGGGATTCTATTGTGAGCAGAGGAGTGGCGGACTCTTATTGTGAAATACCTCTGGACTCTCTCAATTGTATTAATGTCCAATATGCAGTGTGGATTCCAGTCAGATGAGCTGTATTTGAGAATTGGTCTAGCAAAGGTTTTGTATGCCCTAGTTTACAGTACAATATTACCAGAGAAGAAGCTTTGCAAGATTAGGTTGACAACTCTTAATGCCTTTTTGGCAATGCTGTTACAGTGAGCTCTGGCACTTAGATCATTTGAGATGAGTACTCCAAGGTCCTTGACAGAGTGAGGGTTGTCTACGAGGNTCTCTGCCTCTGACCCAGAACCCTCATTAGAGCCTTCCCCAGACTCCAGGACTGACCCATGTTCCTCCCCAACCTCCTCACTGTCTGAATCTGCTGCCACCTCCACTGGCCACTGGTGGGCCACAACACTGTTCCCCTCTTCTCTCCAATGGTCTTTCCCACACCTTAAAGGGTCACTTTGTGTCTCATTGGACCTGAACTATCCATCCTTTGTAGCCTCCCATTTACCTTGAGCAGTTTACCTCACAACTTCCAGGGGATTCAAGGAAGGGCAAGTCACAGTTGGTATTAGCCCCAGGCAACATTTGAAAAGGCCTCATCAGGAGAGCAAATTGTTCCCCAGGGAACGTTGCATCCATGGAGGCCTTTGCATGCCAAGTTTTCTCCTGACGTGTCCCCGAAATGTCTGCTCAAAAGTAAATTTGCAGCAGCAGCATGAAATGCCACCCTTTGCTCCAAAGATGTCTTTGCTGAGGTCCAGCCTTTGTGTGGGGAAGATCAATGAGTCGCAATGAGCACATTTATATTTAGCAAACAGCTCTCTATACCATCCTGCCCTTTTGGAGTCCTCGTTTCTGATTGTGGCCTCTATGCGGTCTGGTCAAAATGCTGGGTCATTAACACCACAGTAGCAACTATAAAAGAGAAGAAGAGAGAGGAGAGAGTTCCTTGATAAGAAGAACAGAAGTAGAATTTTATCTGACCTCTGTGGCAAGTTTTTCCAAGTCAGCGGAAATTCAGATTGCTGAATTTCTTTGGTAATGGGCAAATGTACTGCATTTGTGCCTAGTACCTAAAGTACTGCTTCCAGGTTTGGTTACCACACTATAAAAAAGAAGTTGAGACTCCAGAAAGAGTGCAGAGAAGAGCAACCAGGATGATGAGGGTACTGGAGATTAAAACATACGAAGAACCAGAGGAGACATGATAGCAGACTTCCTGTATTTGAGGGGCTGCCACAGAGAGGAGGGGGTCAAACTATTTTCCAAAGCACCTGAAGGCCAGACAAGGAATAATGGATGGAAACTGA